TCCTTCTTCTTCTTCTTCCTCCTTCTTCTTCTTCTTCCTCCTCCGCTGTCCTTCTTCTTCCTCCTACCAGCGCTGCTCCGCTGCCTCTCTCTAGCGCAGCTTGCCTAGCGCTGCTCTGGGCGCCGCTCCAAATGCCGACTTCCAACCGCTGGACCGACAAATGAGGCGGAGCTCCTTGCTCCGCCCACTGATATAGCGGCCTGGTTGCCTCTTGGGCGGTGACTTCCAGGCCGCTCGGCCTCCCAAGCAACCGGTGTGCCTCCGCTTTCGGAGGGAAACATCATTGCAGACCCTGAAACATCCCGCGCAGGCCCTAGACTCCTACTACTACCCCTAGGACCTACCGGACTGCTAAAAATGCCAACTTTGTCTTTTCTGCCCGGACTTTCAAGTACCCCAAGATTCGGCCTTTCGGCCTTCAAGTACCCCGACATTGGACTTACCGGCCTACTTGAGTGTTTTCCCGCTACCCACCAAGGGTCGCGGGGCTGCTAGCTTCGCCACTTGAGTGTTCCCTGGCTGCACCCCTCACAAGCCACGCCACAGGTAAGTACCGGCCCTACCGGGCCTGCCCAACATCCATGGCCCCGAAGGGGTCACACACACACTCAAGCACTCAGTCAGGCACGCATTCATCACCCAGGCACGCCAACCACATACAGGCACGCACTCAGACCCAACACAACCCACTCAACAGGCAGGGGACTTAGTACGGCATTCATTCCACGAGCAAACTCAGAAATCAGCTGTCTGTTACAGTCCGTGTGATGACGGGTCATTACACAGTTTTATGCAGTGATTTCTTGCCCTTCAAACACTCTAGATATGTCGAAATCAGGGAGGGAGAGAGAGAGAGAGAGAGAGAGGCAGTCTATTGGACAATTAGAAAAAAGGACGGAGTAATTGAGGGGGTGTTCCTTAAGCCACAATATCTTGTTCTCTCTGAGTCTTTTAAGAAAATTGCAGAATTGCGATTTTTTGTTTTTTCATGTTTAGAGGGCGTCCTAGGAAATACATTGCTTCAGTGAAACGATTCCAATCATAAGTTCTTTTCTTTTCTTTTATTTTTTCGTTATCAATTTTTATCAAACGTTTTTTCACACTTCCAAATAGTTCAAGCTGTACGACCTTTCCCTAACTGTGCAGCTCTGTGTGTGTGTGTGTGTGTGTGTGTGTGTGTGTCTTTGTTTTCTGTGAATTGCAGCTGAAGGTTCTGTATCCGTTGATACGGGCGAGAATATTTGCGGATATTGATGAGGGGACAGAGGATGAATGAGAGGGGCAGATGGAAGGAGAAGTAGAGCTCTGCGACCGTAGAGAGAAGGTGGTGATGGATTAGCAGCATGCAGTGAGTAGCTTTTACACACCGTTTTGATAATTCTTTTGGATGCGTTGATCGTATCAAGCAATCCTAATCTTCATTAGTGGAGGAGGATTCTGCACTTGCTTTGTCTTATCTCTCGCTGTTTTTTTCCCTCATCGGATCCGAATGCATGTAGAGAGGTTGTCTTGTTGTACAGTGGGCATCAATTTCAATTTACCTCCTCCTCGCTACAATTGGAAAGCTTTCTCCTTATCGCTACTTCTTCTTCCTTTCTATAATCAATACGTTACGACATGTCTGCCCTCTGATGGGCTGGTGATGGGTTCAACATTACGATGCAAATAGGTGTGTTTCTTTGTCTATGTGTGTGTCTGACACAGAGAGAGAGACAGAGGGGGAGGGCGAGAAAACAGAGACCAAATTGACAAAGAGAAGGAGACAAGGTTGACGAAGACACACAGAGAGAGAGAGAGAGAGAGAGAGAGAGAGAGAGAGAGAGAGAGAGAGAGAGAGAGAGAGGAGGGGGGGAAGAGAAGGATGAGGTTCTTATTGGAAT